AAGCTACACGAACTCGAGTTTTCAATCTGATGTCGATGATAGCAAGTCAAATTCGGGGTATGTGTAAACCTTGAATGGAGAAGCAATGTGCTGGAAGAGTTCTAAGCAAGATACTACTGTTGACTCGACCGTAGAGGCGGAGTACATTGCTGCAATAGAGACAACAAAGGAGGGAGTTTGGATGAAGAAGTTCATCACAGATCTAGGAGTCATGCCAGGCAGTGAGGAGTCAATTCCCTTATATTACGACAACTACGAGGCGATTACTCAAATAAGGGAACTCGGGTCTCATCAGAAGTGTTCTGAGGATGTTTCAGCTTATTAGAGAGATCATGACCCAAGGAGATGTAGTAGTGGAAAGAGTTCCATCCGAAAATAACATTGCAGATCCATTAACAAAGTCGTTATCTCATATTGTCTTTAAGCGTCACAGGGGTCTAACGGGGATTAGACACATTGGTGATTGACTCTAGGTCAAATGAGAGATTGCTAGTAATATATGCCCTGCAAGCTAATCATGTGAGTGATGACACGTGTGACTTAACACACAATCTTTTTGCTTATTACATTTTGGCATTTTATCATTTTATATGTATGCAATATATATTGTGATGTACTTGGATCTATGCAATGGGAATCATATCATGATAATATCACGATAATGAGACCGATTCACCTTTAAACATAGATCCTTAATAATCCTAATCATAGGTTACTCGAGAGGGACATTAAGATAACTGGACAAACTGGTATGTTGTATACCCGTCCATATGATAGATGCAGTTGGTCTCATAGCTACTCGTGTGGGGACACTAGGGATATGGTACAGGTGCTCATTGGAGAATGAGTTCACTGATTGATCCGCTTACAAAATGTTGGATGGTTGATGATGCCTTATTATCAGACAGCGATTCTATGGTCCCAGTGGTGTATTTGGTCCTTAGACTTGAGACACTAAGGATGTCATGTATGAGTGCTCCACTTTTTGATACAGGACTTGTAGGTTTGGATGTCTCAGATCTAGCACAATCAGTCTTGGGAGTGGTAATCAACCTTACAAGGGCTATTGAGTATCGATAGAGGATCATCCACTCTTATTGTCATGAGAAGAATGTCTCATGTATTATTGATCAGAAAAATCCCCAACCAGGGTTATTTGGATTGAGAGAGAAAGAGTTCTCCGGAAGAATCTGATTAAAGCGAGACTCGAGTAGAAACCGTATGGGTCTGACAGCACCATGCCCGATATACGGTCTTTGGAATATTAGATGGATGAGAGACTATAGGTATATGGTAACTGAGGATAAACAAGTCTAATGGATTGAATTCCTCTGCATCGTTTGGGGACTACAGCGTAGTGGCCTAGTATGTTCGTAGTCGATGAATCGAGTGAATTATTATTTCTATAATAATTCACTAAGCCATAAGGAGTTCTGATAAGTATGACTCACGTCTAGCTCGATATTGGGCCTAGAGAGTCACACACATATGGTAGGCATTACAATGAGTAGAGGTTCGGATATGAGATATCCGCCTGAGACCCTATCTTTTTGGATATCCAATAAGCCCCTGAATTATTTGATCTCATAGACGAGATCCAATAAGAGCCCATGAGAGATTATTGGATAGAGATCTACTAATCTAATAGGCTTGGATAGTTGGAAGAAGATCTAATACCTAATAGGGGAGGATCCATTAGGGTTAAGATGACAAGGGACCTCTATAAATATGAGGAAATCAATGGTTCATAGGCTAGAGCCTTTGCTTGTCTTTTCTATTCTCCTCCCCCTCTTTACCTTAGAGTAGGCCTGGAGTTTTGAGGAGCATCGTCGTAGCCATGCTGTGTGGATCACCGCTATAGAGGATGACGCTTGGCCTCATTCACCCTCTCCTAGAGATTTGAAAGAATTCAGGGATATACCATCTCCCTAGGTAATACAATCTACTCTATACGCAGTTTTAAGTTTTACAGAATTTTGCGCACCAATCTTCACACAACGACGAACATCTTTTTTGGAAATTGGGGGTTTTGTTTTCTATTCTTCAACTGCGCATATGATGTCGCCCTCAAGATTTCCCAACATTGGGCACCTTCTTGGTCCATTTTTTCATTGTAGCGGATTTCTTCTTATACGTGTCGAGCATGCCCGACTCACTCACCTTAGGTGTCTTCCTAGCCCGTTTTTTCGTCATAGTGGATTTCTTGGTGGAATTATCCCAAGGAGGTGCTCTATCTTGATCGTGGAATGTGATTTTATGGGGAGTGGGAGGCTGCCTTGTCTTGATTGGGGTCTATGAAGTTGTTGGTTGGATCCCCAAGTGACATTAGGAGTATCTTTTTATATCCTACTTGACTGATATTATAATAAATAAAGGAGAAATAGGAGAGAGAGAGAGAGAGTTAGACGAGCTTCTTGAGGGAGACCCTTGATGACCCTTTTAATGCTAGATGACAGAGGAGAATTTCTCTAGATTCTCTCACACCCTAGCGGTGGATGGGATAGAATTTTTTTTTCTTTCTATTTTTGGCATCTCATCGATGAAATAGCATCCCTTCTATGTGACCCGGAAGGGACACTTGCATGAATCCCGAGAGGAGAGGGGTCATATTACATTTTAAAACTTTTTTTATTTGAGGCTCATTCCCTTACTTGAACCTTAACATCAAGAGTCTTCTTCTTGGCTTTAATTGTAAAAGAGGTAAGTCCATCCTTAGGTCATCCAATGTTTGGTCTTGTAACTCAAGTCAGAATGTCTCTTCCTTCTCGTATAAGTTCATCACAATCTATTGACCGTCAATCAATTGAAGTCCATATATTAACCTCCAATAATCCGAGGTCGGGTAGAGGAGTAGGGGACTAAAAGCTTATAGACATCTAGCATCACCTTTATCCTCAAAGATGCTTTTTGAGGTTCACTCCGAAAATATAAAATCATGTAGGCTCATCCAAAGTGAATAATTCCTCACATGCTTTCGCTCGCAGTAATAATGATAAAATTTGACAAGACTATTATACTTAACATATCTCACCATCTTAATTATTAAAATATATTATCAGAGATTGTATTACGTTCAATTGTGATTTGAATATTAGCAAAACTAAGTGATTCCAGCATTTATTATTATTTTTTTGTTTTTTATTGTTATTTGCTAAAATCGAGGACACGTTGGCTAATGAAAAGAACAGCAAGCAGGTTTCGGAGCTTTGCATTGGATTGCGGCTTCTCTTGAAGGGGCGTGCAACGCACGTGGCCACTTTGAGAAAAGACGATCCATGTTAAGCGGTTCGATTCGATCAAATGGCTTAATTTACCTGAGCTCACATTGACTCGTTAACCCTGACCCGTATGCATCATATCCATCTGTATCGGGTCAAAAATCTCACGATCCGATCCATCGGATTCGGATCAAAACTCCCTCAAACCGGATCGGGTTGGAGGCAGCGCTCGTGGAACTGCAGCCGCTGCACGCCATCTCAGTCCTCTCTGGCCCCACGAGAGCAGTGGGTCCCCGTGGTGATGGCTTGGGACATGCACCTAAAAGAATTAAGCCTTCACTTTTGCTCAGCTTTTTTTAGCATAAGAAGTCCATATCACTCACTAGAGGGGAAATGTAGCTTTCTTGATTCCTGTGTACACAAACTGTGGTAGCTGGTGGCATTACATCAAAGGTTTTGTAGACCAAGTTGCTCAAGGAATCCGTCATCTTGACGATGATGCCAATAGTTTGCAGTTTGCAATTTCAAATGATGTCATTTGGTTCCTCGGATGACACTGTTCGACAGCCAAATTGGAGAAATATTACTTTTAATTACTTGATTTCTCTCTCTCTCTCTCTCACTGGTTTTATTTGTAGCCATTCTGCTACAACAGTTGAATTTGATATTTACAGTAAACATAAAGAAAGAAAAAATTGAATCCGCAATCTTTTTTTATAAATATTTTACAGCACCACTTGAACTAAAGGAGATAAGATAGGTTGGATGTTCGAATCTATTGTTTCCATCATCTAGAAACAGTCATATGATTGGATGGCTTATGTAGCTAACAACTAAGTGGATTTATATTAACACCTCCAGATAAGGATTCTACAATGGATTAGATCTTTATTTTCCTCCACATAAATATACGTGTTAGAGGCGACAATGTTGCGTTGGCCACTTCAAATCATGATAATGATGGTGATGGAATTAATATCAAACCAATCTTGAGCTGTCCAGACTGTGGAAGCTCTATTACAAGTCAATATGTTGAGGCCCATCACTTGAATCATGGAATGACTAAGGAAAAAGCTTCCGTGATGAGGCAACCCATTTCAATATAGATGATGAAAGGGACGACCAACATATTTGATTGAATTCTATATGAGTTACACATCTGTGCAAGGTAGAAGAAGATTTACAATTGGATAAGGAAAGAATAAGAAAACATAATGCCACCATATGCCGATCGTTTGGTTGGTCACGAGGACTTGCATCCCTGCAGTATTTCTTCATGTTCAGTGGATGGATGCAATATTAGGTTGGTAGGCCAACATGTAGACCTTCCTTTCAAAGGTTTGAACTACCGCATGCAATTATTTCAGGAGCGTCATTTGAATTAATAGAATGATCATTTATCTTCTTCTTCTTAAGAAGGAGAGAAAGAAGCCAGGGGAGTAAATTGATCAGGCTCTTCAAACAAATGTGGCTGGCTACTGTCTCCTTGAACATGTTGAAGGTTTTACGTGTTTGCACTGAAAGAACAGATTCCCTAGTTTCATTATATGTTTTCTAGACATATCTAAAGGGTCAAGTTAACTGTGACCTGATACTAAATGGTGTCATGCTTGGATCATTTGGAAAACTTTTGAGACCATAAGAAAGCAGCACATATTAGAATTGGAGACTGTGATCCTAAGATAGATGGATCTTTTAACATGTTTTCCCATGAAATGGCATGTAGTGGTACGAATTAATCAGCTACATGCAAGCTATTTAGAGAGACATATAAATCAAGACTAAAGCATTATTAATCTGTGAATTCATTTGTTCAAAGGGTCACAAGGTTCCAAGTCCTGAGTAACCCAAAAGATAACTAATAAGTTTTATGATTGCTACAAGATTTTAGACGTGACAGTATCTCTAAATTTAGTATAAGAAGACCATCTCTACATCCAGAAAAATAAACAAAGGGCAGATAGGTTGCAAAAATATGAAGCAAGCAAAAGCAGAGTCATCCATGTTTAGAAGGCCATCAATTTTGATCAGCAACTCACATCTTACACCGAACAGGTTGGTCTCTCTTGGTGATGTATTATTAGATGTGCACAGAGCCTCCTGATTCTGGACCTAATCACATTTGATGTTTCTGTATATCCTTCTCACAAACATGGTAGAGCCGAGATATCCCACAGCACCTACAAATTTAAGTGAACACAAGTTTAAATACAGTGGAAGAGCAAAACTCTTGACAGGTAAGAACTGACGGATGATTGAATAACAAATACTCACCACATAGTATACCTAAACCCAAACAAAACATCAATGTGTAACCAAAATAGAAGCTGGTCTGGAAAAAGCCTGACATCTTGGTCTTCATGTAGTAGTAATACACAGAGTAGAGATACACATACACAGCTGTTGAAGCGGCAGAGAAGAATGAAGTCCACTGCCAGTGATAGTTCTCAGCATTGAGCAAGAAGTATGCGCCAACAATTGTTACACACATAGTGACGATGATTAGGATCAGGAAAACCAGCAACATGAATCCATAGACATAGTACACCTGACAAATATGACCGTAGCAGAGAGGATTGAGAGCAACTCGTATATTGGTCTCAGATGAGGTCAAGTTAATTCATATGAAAATCTGGATAACATGGTGAATCAAAATAAAATGGTCCAAGTAACAGATGCCTAGACCAATAAGAATTGAAATATTCATGTAACCAAAAGCTAATAGTAGATAAGACAGAGCAATTGTTGATATAATAATCTATTTCTATGGAAAACAAAGACCTTAAGGCAAGGGATACCTTGTAATTCCAAAAGGATGTGAAGACAAAATACATCTCGATGAATATGCTACCAAAAGGAAGCAAGCCGCCCATAAGTGAGATTATGGACGGTGTAAGATACCATTTCTTTTCAGGAATCAGACGAGGAATTGTTTTCACACGGCAAGGATTGTTTGGAGAACCACTCCAGTTTCTACCAACAACAGTGCCAAGAAGTGCTAGTGGAAATGAGATGAAGGCCCAAATTATAAACACAACTACCATAGTGCCAAATGGAATAGCAGCTAGTGAACCATAAAAGATAGCAATTGTGTTAAGTATAAAGCCAATCCCAAAGCACATAAATGGGAACAAGGATGCAGCAAGGATCATCGACTTTATCCAGCTTTTACCTGAGAAAAGAAAGCCATGCATCAAACAAACAATAACAGCAGCAAAGATGAATGAGCAATCACACCAAAGAAGTACACAATAGATCATGCTATATATATCGTGAGAACACTGTACAGTGGGAAGCTTGTTGAGAATCATACCACCATTTTGTGAATAAAGACCGCCACTTACATAGCCTGAAATGAAAGACGTAAGAGCATAGCACACAATGAAAGTAGTAGCAATAGCTCCTCGCCTGGCCAAAGAACATTAACTTTTGGTAGTGAATCAACAATGACGAAAGATACATATGTTACTAGAGGAAAATGAAAAAAGGTGAGATAAAAAACTAAACAGAAACAATGATCCACAATAGGACACAACTTGCATTAAAAAACATCAGATTGATGGATCAAAGTTTAGTAAACAGGGTGCAAAAGAATCTGCAACCAGAAGTCATTCCTTGAAAAAGGTATTGATTTAGCTGAGGCATAAATAGGCTTAGAAAAGGCTCATTTTAAAATCTGTGTTTCTTCTTCACAACTTAAGCTCATATGATCAATAAAAGAAGCCCATCTTAAGTGACAATATTTACTAGGGAGCAGCCAAAGCAACAAATGCAACAAGTCCAACACTCTGATTCTTAAAAAACCTGTATAAGTATTTCAATGGTATTCGGAAATGTATGAAGCATACCATAGTTTAGAGATTTCATATTAAGCTGCACAAGCTCATCCTATAATAAGTAGGAAAGAAGGTGAAAAATCCAATTACAACTCTTTAACTGTTTTCAAGGCTATCTTACAGAAACAAGTTTCAAGACTATCTTGATAAAATGTTAAACCAAGCCTTTCACACAAAGTATTTATTGTTTACTCTTTAAATTTAAGTTTGGTGTTTGCATGGGCATGAGTCTCAAATTCAGGTATGTATCCAAGCAATCAACTCTGCAGATCAAGATAAAGGCACACAAATGGAAACATAAAATTGAACAGACAATAACCATGTATTATCACAGAGTGGAAACAATTGAGAAGAGAATATTCAATAGCTTCTCTATGTTTTCCAATTTTCAGATTGCTTCTTAAATCATTAGCCTAGTTCCCGATAGTTAATAATATCAACATGTTGACATGCAACTACCGATTTGTTTGAGGAAATCTCCTGTGTCATATATGTATATATATTATTTTGGAAGTCTAGGGGATTCTGATTGATCTGTGGATAACAGGTACTGTGTGTTTGACAAGGACATCTTTTCAGGGGTTCTTGTTGACATAATTTATGTGATCTGGGACTCCTTCATCTCACCCTTGAATATTCTCAACATCACATCTAAAAACACATTCCATCTATGATTGAGTAGAATCTGCCTTCAATCATGCCCTCTAAAGGTTAAGATGCATAGAGATCTTAACTTTTGGAAGTCATATGTTTAATAATCTAGTGATTGATTCTCTTTTTCTAAAAGCCAACAGCTGCTGAAATTATGTCAAAATCTGTTCTTTATCAGCAAAAGATTAACTGGATTACTGGCATGAAAATTTTCATATAGACATTGAAAAAATACGTTTACAGGGACATTTTTAATAAAGAATCCAGACACAAGGAAAAAACAATTATTACACAGAAATATCATTACTATATCAAACATATAGAAAAAAATTCCAAAATATAACATAGAAAGAATTCCAATATGTTATCCCACTCTTACTTGGGCAAACAACATGATTGAAAATATATGCTTAACACAATAAGAATTTCAAAACTTGTTATCAGAATCATAGAGTCAATAAAAAAAGGAACATTCGACTACAAATTATGATAAAAAGTGACAAATACGTACCCAACATACAACATCCCGATTATTGCCAACAAAATGACCAAGAGGACAAGCATAGCCAACTGAGCACCAGTACCAACAACTGCTGAAAGAAGAACTAGATTACACGGGGGGCGAAAGACATCACCATGAACAAGCTTCCATCCAGACTCTTCACTCGCATCTCTTTCCTAATAATTATGCACAAAAACAATAATCAATAAATTTCCATGAAAAGTATAAAACTGTCTTCAGGCTTACTCATGGATATACAAATAAAACAATTCATTGACACCTCAAGGATTGTAAACTAGGCACACAGTCTTGAGTGCAACTGTAACTAAACACAATCAACAACTCACCAGAGTCTCCAAATCATCATCTTCACGAGCATATTTTGCGTAATCGTTTCTAAGAGTTCGCATCAAAATCATTGATACAAGACCAGTGAGGAATATAACCATCATGAAAGAATTGAAAATTGAAAACCAGTGAATCTGCAAATGGTCAAACACAAATCAGTTCAATAGTTGTAGGTAGAGAATATAAGTTTTCAAACATGTTATAACAAAACTAGCAAAAGCTTCTGGAAGGAAATGAAGACATCATAATAAATGATGTTTCAAAATCTAAGTTATGAATTGCACTCCAATTATAAATTACATTCCACATGACAGAGACCCAAATTTGAGAAAGAAAAAGTACCTGGTGCTCAAAGAAAGGATAATCCAAGTATACATCAAAACGTCGAGCAAATTTTACATCAGTTTCTATCCATTTCACTGAGTATGTCATGTCTAAGCTTTTGCCAGCTTCCAAGAGTTTAGGAGATTCTTGGGTGAGATTGACATGAATAATCTGCAAGGAGTTAATAAGGAGTTAAAGTATTATGGAGACTATTTATTTGAGATCCTTAACTTCTAAAAAATTGCCAACCTGATCACCATTGTACTTTACAACGATATCCTTGTGAGTGAAAAGATAGTGTCGATTTTCATTGGTCTTATCAGTCTCCCCAATGAAACCTGAATATTGGTAGTTGTATGTTACAAAAGAATTAGCATAGATATCTCCCCTTCAAGAAAAATGTGATAGACACATACCCCATAGAGGCAAATCATCTGAAGTCATCATGTAGGCATGGAACAGGGACAAAGAAAAGTGAAGAGTGAAAATCAACAGATAAGCATATGAAACAAAACATCAGCAATCAATGGAGACTGTATTATGTAAGAATTAAGAAATCTTAAAAAATTAAATACATAACACGGTTCACAACATACCAATGAAGAATTCAAACCAATACGAACTCTCTACTGCATCTTTGAATTGTTTTACCTTAGCAGCATCAAGATTAATAGCACAGATGGAAGCCTTATCAACATTTTCTGAAAGAAACAAAATCACAGACTAATTTTAACCTTAAAAAAATTACGTTTAATCATATATTATTCTCATGGTACATGGAATAAAGAAAAATCTAAAAGACAGTCCACGTACTTCGAAACTTTATCTCAATCTGGCTATCAACAAGTTGATTACCACCTAGAACCTCCCCGAGCCCACCCCACTTATGGGCAGCATTCCCTGGTAGTTGGCAAAACGGAAGGATATAATAATTGTATGTCTCTTGAGGATTGTTATATGGCCCAACCTTGTTTACCCAAAGAGTAACATGGTCATCGTTTTGGTACTGCAAAATAAAACGTAACTAAATCAGACAATTTGCGAAGGCAATATTGCATCTCTTCTTAAATATAATACAAAAAAACAACTCATATATATATATATATATATATATATAGAAGCAAAAAATACTCTAAATTCTTTCAATGATGTATACACGAGATTTTTCAGAGATAATATAGATACAGCTTGACCAAGAAATCAAGATTCTAAAAGAAGAGGTCAGCTTTAGAGACACATTTTTATAATACAAGAACGGAATTCAGTATAAAAAAACTTGTACAGTCACATGAATAGGTGAACAATAGAGATTATTTATAAAAGTGAATGACTTGAGTAGCAAAATTGGAGATTTTATAAAGAAACAGCACAGCATCTATGGTGTAAAGAAAAGTAGTACAAACAGTGGTCATGATTAGATTGACATGAGTACTAGAAATACTCAGGGTAAATTAAATGAAATTAAACCAGAATATCAGCATTAGGTACTATTTGACAAGAGAGTACATTTTCCTGTGAGGAAATTTCTCAGAGAAAACTTTTGCATAGTGTTAGAGTCATTTGTGTGAGAACTAAGAAAATCTGATATTTGTTCCATCTATAACAAACATGTTGAGAACAGTATCTAAAAGTTTCAATATCCTAGCTAAATAAACCATAAATATATAGACCTTATGTAGCTGTGGATTTACAAAGAATAAAAGAAAACAAATCAAACAATTGTTTCATCATTCCACCATAAACTGATAATAATCTAATGGACAGACACCCCAACCCAGGTAGCTGCATTTTTTATTTGTGCCACCATTCTAATTAAGTCTCATATTATAGAGCTCAGGAAACTCTTCAAACAATGATGAGTATGTTTGATGTAATGCAAAATTGCTTCCTCTTTGCCAATGTAAACAAAATTGCACTTAATTTTTAAAGGCAAATATGCTTCCATTACTTTCAGGTCTGGTACCCAAATAAACGGGATCGGCAATGGGAAAAAAGGGCTTAAGCCCAATTTTCATTTTTGTATATATACTTAGCAATATGTGTACACTTGCCGAAGGTCTAAATCACAATGATAGAACCACTATAAGTGCTACCAATGGTTCTATCCAATGTTTGATGTTTTGCCTTAATCACTATGACACGGGCAATATGTATTGACTAGGTATGAACCGGTATGTGGATGGCCCTATTTCGTACAGTCTGGATCGAACCATTTAAAAAATAATAATAAACATGTTCGTGAGCCCTTTCTCCTCATGCTGCCGCCCGTTGCACACTATGCGCCACCGACAGGTACACTTCCTCCTCTTCTTCCTCTTCCTTCTTCCTCTACTTCTTCTTCCTCTTCCTCCTCTTCCTCCACTACCCTCTTCTTCCTTTCTCTTCCGCCTTCTTCCTATTCCTCCTACTTTCTCCTCCTTTTCTTCCTTCCTCCTCCTTCTTCCTCCTCTTCCTCCACTTAGTCTTCCTCTTCTACTTCTTTGTCTTCATAACATCAGTACGTACCGATGTACCCTGTACAAGTACCAACCAGTATGTTATGTTTTGATATGTACCGATATACCACATACCGACTGATACATACCGGTCTGGCTAAAGACCAATACAGGTCCAGTACCAATATGGGTCTCGTGCATGAAATTACTACTCTTGGTTCTATCACAAGCATATAAAAAGATTTCTAACAACTTCCATCCAGGTTGGATTTCCCTCCATTCTGATTCCACCATAACCCACCTGAGTTTTAAGATATCTTTACCACAGCCATATCATTTGTCCTTGCAGATCACCAAAATATCTCAAATGATTCTCCATTTCATATGATAAATTGATCCTACATCTCTAACACATTCTTCCACACTTGGAACCTCCAGTTGACCAAATATTCATGCCAATTCTTATTCTTGCCACAGACACTTGTTTCATTGAACATTCTCTATATAGGTAAGTTTTTAGATTTTATCCTTGTTTTTGAATTTTGATTTCTATTGCAATATGAAAAAGTTGCAAGTAGTCATGCTATGGCTAAAGATAAACCAAAAGCATTATTAAATATATTTTTTTACTTTGCCATCACATGATGTGTTGTATCAAATATCAGTCACTGAATGGTTAACATTAAAAATGGTGCTTTTCAAACTGTACATGTGATAGGGTCCAGATATTTACTTAACGATGTATGAACTCGTTTCAAAACATATCATAGAATTTGTGATAGAAGAACCCCAGTCAAAGTTTCTCCAAGCTCGATAATGAACATAAGAAAAGCCTCCAACTTATAACCGAGGGCTTGAGAAAACAGCTTTTCAAAAATTAGAGCAAGAGATCTGGCAATTGAAGCATGCATTGGTAGTAAGAATCCTAATAACATTAACAGTGAGAAGAAATCCTAAGTATGAATCATTCAGTTCAATCATGTGGATCAATTTCCATTATTTGGTAAAACCTAGTATGCTTGTCCTTAAAAAGTTCGAGATCCAGGCAACTAAATGATAGATAACTGATGTTACCGAGAACCAATAAAAAGTTTAGACAAAGTGACAATGGAGGCAACAAAGGACTCTGCTTTCCAAAAGTTGACTTTATGGTGATTCAAAAATCACTCAGAAAGAAAGCTTAAAAGATTACAGGTTCTAGACCCTGTGCAGTCAGTACAATTGAAGAAAACAATCATGACCAAACAACATTACCATTCAAACACAGAGTGTAATGACCTCAATATATGTCCTAGCAGTTTTCATGCAGCTTGATGACTGCCATTGAGATGATAAAAATCATAAACAATGCGTGTCCAAGAATAAAAAGAGAAGCTATAATTTCTGGGAGCTCTTCTTCAGCTCATGCTAAATGTGATAAAGAGAGAAATTAGATTCTCTTGAATACATGAAAAACCCCTTGTGCATTAGAGTATAATTCTCACTGTGATTATCTACATAGATCATCTGTAAATGTTCTTTGACACTTAAGGTGTAAATCATCCACATCCGTGATTTCTCCCAAACACCACAATTACCAATTACGTTCTTCTCTCTAGTCAGTTTAACCAAATAAAAAGAAAAGGTGAACTAAGTTAGATCATGCAAAGGCAGTTCGAAACATGATTAATAGATCATCTCAAAGAACAAAAATCTATATGCATCTTAGATCTATAGCACGAAAATCTCGGAACAGAAGAGCTAAATAGATACAACAGAGCTACTTTATTGCCGTCGCATCAAGAACAAATCTAAGTGTAATGAACAAAACGGTCAATTTTATGCTCGGGAACAACAGATCGATCCATCTGCGTCACTTAGAGTGATTCCGTGGCAAGAACTAACAGGAAAGACCAATACGGATCAAGCTGGGCAGGAGACGCAGCGTGGGTAACCGATTCGAAACAGGAAAATTGGTTCTAAACATCTGCGTTTCCAATTGGCAAGATCCATGGTTAAAGAACGATCTAGAAGCGCACCGTATGGTCGGACTCCGAGGCGGACGCCGGGGATGCGGCGGCTACAACGAGGAGGATGAGGAGGAGGGGGGCGAGGGATCGGGCGGTGAGGACCATCCTCGCGGCTGGATCTACGGAGATCGGAGGGCGAAAGAGGTCCTTCCGCCCCTTCTCGATCTCTCTCCTCTATCCGCACACGGGAATTCGGAGGGAGGTTTTTGATTTATTTGGAGGAATGGAACGCACTAAAATATGTTTCCACCTCACTGCGAACGTACCCCTGTAACTTACCTTCATCGCTATTGGTAGTCATCAATGACCCACACCAACTGAGTTTATTCTTCTGTCAACGCGGTAGGGAAGGGTCGATGCAAGAAGTACGCAAACTCTTCCGTGTAAACTAGTTGGGTTATTGCAGCGAAGTCGGCGTCGGTCTCAACGGAGGACACAACAGTATCATTCGTGAGACGATCCATCTGACCACGGTGATAAGCGATCCCCCTTTCTGATGCAAGTGGCGAAGCCGAGTCAACGGTCAAAATCTTTGACGTTAATTACATTTGTGGTGAGGTGTAGGTCCGGCTCAATCGCCCGCTGCGTGATCCAATCTGGTTTGGCCCCATGATGATCTGATATGGAACCTTTCGCGAACCCCCGTGATTGTTTGCGAGCACCGCAGTTCCTATTAGTCCATCGCTCAAATAGGATAGGAAAGAGGTACAGCAACAATAACCACTCATTAATATCCCAACGACCACTTTGGGTCAATTCAGCATTGCACGACAATCAAAATCCATAAATGCCAACACCAAAGCAAGCCAGGATGGTAAGTGTTTATGCACCGTTTCCTTTCTCGTTGCCTTCGTGTCATTGATCAGATAGTCAATATGATACCTGATTCTATCCCAAAAGTATGGATCATCTTAGAAGCCCAAGCAAACCGAATGGGTGCGATTCGAGTGTAAGGCTAGGGAGATAGGTGGAATCCCGAGGCTCTGTTAATTTGTGATGATCGACCCGTTATCCTTTCGAAATATGGTTTATGTATTGAAGGAAGTTTAGAGTCGTCTCGAGGTGCGTCTTGGTCTTGTATAGTGATACTCTACGTTGTCCCGAGATGCTCTTTAGATGTATCAGGGTCCTGCATAATCGGTCGGGGATATCCTGACCCAACCCATTCGATGCTTAAATTAGTAAAAAAAGTGGAGAGAGTTTAGTAAAACTCTAGAGAGTTTAGATTGAGTATATTTGTCTTGTCTATTCGAGGACCGACCTTTATACTTGATTTGTCGATGGAGGGTAGTCGATTGCTCATCCTCCCTTCAACTTCTCGTACAATCAATGGTCTATTTATGTCAACGGCTAGTGAATACATCTTCATATTAGTTATGTCAGGGAAGAACGACCGGGGGTATGTCGTCTATCATAGTAGGGACATGCTTGAAACAGATAGAGGATGGGGATCGATGTCAAGTACCCAAAGAGTCAGGCCACGTCATCAAAATTAATGATTCCTACGATTAAATGTCCAAATCCTTCCGAAATCATGGTCGAGGGTGATCGTTGGTGATGGATAACGCAACCTAGGGGAAGTTGAGAAGTCAGGTCTAGTTGCCATGTACCGATGGTCAACTCATTCGACTTCCCTGAGGATCGTGCTCCGGTCGACGACCACGTGAGGGGATAGTGCGAGATCGTGAGTGGTGGCTCACGATCAAGTGGATCAAAAGTACAATGCCTGTGCCATTGCTTTTCCTATCACTCTTCACTTTATTAACATATAGCGGAGGGAATACCTCCGAGAGGAACAGAAGGATGGTTGATAATAGTGTGCCAAAACTTGGTTTGGTCATATTAAAAACACTTAAACTTAGAGTCAAACAAGGATTTGGGTTATACATCAAAGCATACATGAATAACAGCGGCATGAACCTTATCACTCATTTTTAAACTATGAACGATATAATATATGAACACTCGAAAACTCATCTTCAGAAAATATATCACAAGTCAGCTTGTATGATAACACAACCCTAGTGCTGGTGCTGTTTCTTACCTTTAAGCCCCCTCTGTTGCAGCATCTTTGTAACAATCTGGGTTTGTCTTCACTAATATCTACTTGACTTTATTTTTTAATAATTTTTTTCTATTTTACACTACTCTCTAATGATTTTTTATCGTAGTCTTTTAATTATTTCTACTTTATATTCTAGTTTGTATAATTATATTTTTATTTGATTTCAAAACTTTTGGACTGAGTATCATGAACTGAAGATATTAATTAGGGATAACTAGAAAAAAACAGTTGGCATAATGAACCCTTTTATAAGATTTTCTTTAACCTTCAAAAATTAGACTTTTTTGAACAAAACTTGCTTGGGTAGGCTTGAGGACCTGCATACTTTCACCCAGATAGAGACTCCTTTATGGGCTTCACTAATTGGGAAACTGTTAAGTTGTTGTATTTATAAAATAAACTTATTGTCCACACTAGCCTGATTAAAAAGTCTAGGTGGGTTGATCAAGGTGATGGTAAATTGCTAATACCAGATACTATCATAGCCTTGTGTCATATGTCTTGAGTCAATTCTATTTTTCACCTCCTTGTTATGAGTGATTCTATCACTGAACAAAAACTTATTATGAATGAATTTGTCAACTTTTATTGTAATATTTGGAATCATGATCCTACTTTCTGTTTTATTATACTCCTCCTAATTGGTCAAGGATGGCTAATTGGGGTATCAAGCAATGTTGAAAACTTTTCTACCTTAATTTTTCTTGGCTTTAGTAGAAACTTAGACCTAACAACTATATTACCAAATTTTATTGAGCATAGTAGGATATTATCCAAGAGCCTATAATGAAGGTTTTTTAATAATTTCACTCTACTATTAATCTTTCATAATTAGACTAATATTGATAGTTTTCATTCCTAAAACTAATATCCCAAGCTGAGTCAGATAAAGGACTTTAGGATTATCCTTATACAATGAGAGTAATTAAATTCTTGTAAAAAGTTTTGGCCAACCTCTTCTAACTCTCTTATTGTAAAGAGTAATCAGACTTTATTTTTTTCAATCATAATATCTGAAATAACATCTTCGTGACCCAAAAAATTATGCATTTCATATATGATTCGAAAGATAAAAATCTATATATTCTCATTTGACTTGACCCGAGTAGGTTTACGATCATCAAGAGACTCTTGCGAGCCATTCACAGAATGTTTATTAATTAACTTTCCTGAGCATTAATTGTATTCCTATGCAAGTTTGATTAATGGAAAGCTTCTCACTTTTTAGGGGCCAACAAGATGTTGGATAGGGATATAGTTTTACCAAGCTTTAATGGTCTTATCACTCCTCTGTTTTAAACAATTTCATGAGTTTTATCATCTGCTTTATACTGATGATATTCTCCTATATTTTAGGGCCAACAAAACTACTGTCTCTTCACTCTTTTCAAGTGTTAACAAACATATTATGAGGTTTTTGTGGTAAAAAGCTGAGTAGAATTAAGGGGTTGCATCTACTTGTTATTGCTTCTAAAGCTAGTGAGGAGTTAGGAGATAGGGATATTAATATTTCTAAATATATTTTACAATCTAAACATATTGAAACAATATCTCAAGAATAAGAATGATGGTATTTGAGTCCATGTTTAAGATAAATATGACATCTTGAACCCCTAGTTGAGTAGATCTAAATCTAACATGAATTGGAGTTGAAAGTTATTCCTCTAAACCTTCGACCAGCTTAAATCTCTAAGTCCCAGATATTGTTAACAATGGGGTCTCTATTAATCTTTTCACTCATACTTAGATTTTTGTTATTTCCTTTCATTTTAAGTCTACTTATTTTATTATTAACAATGTAGAGGAGCTCCTAATTGATCATGCTTAAAGAGGTGAGCGTAGTGTTTTGATGAAGCTTTGCCCAAGTACTTGCTTAAGTTCAAGTGTCTTATGTGTCAAGCGAGCACTCAAATGAAGATGGGTTTAGGTTCGTACCTAGTTTGATTATGAACCAACTAATTTGCCCTTAACATGAAACTCACCCCCTAAAGTTTATCTTCAAAGTGAAATCATATGTCCACTGTTGCGTTTGTAGCTTTCTCCTTTGCCATCGTCTTTATCCATAGCTTCCTCTGCCAATGTCATCTTTATACGTATCACTTTTCTTTATATCTTCCTCAAATTTTTTAATATTTTAATATTATAAAATGTCTTACTTCACTTAGCACTCATGTTTCGAAATTATGATATCTAATTTTTTTTAAAACACTTACTTGCAAGAAACTAGTGAGAGAAGTATTTTTAACCATAAAGTATTCAAAAGATTATATCAAAACTGACTTTAAAAATCTTGCGGACCTTTTTAAAGAATATATATATATATATGACTCCACCAATCACCATATAGCAAGCAGGAGATGGTATGATCCAACATCTTTATCAAATTAATATAGTTTAGTAGTACAGTAAAAGGTCAATACTAAGAAAAATATTATAAAATGAGTATAAAAATAATACCCAAAAAATGAGTATAAAAAGTGTGATTGCTATTTGCTAAAATTTGGCTTCAGAATATAATATGTAAAAACTAAGGCTCCTCTAAACCCTTTGTGATAAGCTGTCAAACAAAATGAGTCTTTTTAAACCATATGTTTTACTAAAGAAAAATTAATTATTTTATCAAATAGAAATATTATATTATTTTGGATCAATCTAAAATAATTGATTAAATCGGTCTGTTTATATACCCAATTGAAAAGAAAAAATTAATTTAAAAGGGATATTTTTCTCCGTAAAATTGTAGAATTGAGGGTCGTATTGGGATAAATGACGTCATGGTGAGAATTAATATTCTTCTTTTGAAGGGCCGTTTGGTAAAAGATAGTTCAACGTCAACAATAAGCGTGCCTCGTGATCCTTCCGCCCCGTCCGCCCCAAAACAAATCTCACGGCTTCTTCCGCCTTCCGAGACTCGCACAAACCTACACCGTCGACGGGCTGCTCGGCGCTGTTGGATCTCCAGGCTTTCCCCCCCCCCCCCCCCC